GCAAATAGGAATAAGTCAATTTTTCTTGTAAAATCCTGCACTCGGCTCCACTTTTCTCATTTTTGTTGATGAGGGTGTCACGGTCAACAGTCAAAACGATCGTCCTTTAAGAGCGTTTGGAAAGAGCGAAGTCTTCATTTGTGCTGCTCTGGTGGGAGGGGCCACGTACAGAGGCACTGGAGACGCTGCTATGCTCAGCACCACAGAAAATTAACAATATTTTAATAGAAAATAAAATTTAAATATTTTAGTAGAAATTCAGCCGAGGGCCAGATTAAAGTTCTTGGAGGGCCGGATCTGGCCCCTGGGCCGTATGTTTAACACCCCTGTTCTAGACAAATAACAATCTCCAACAATCTCGAAACGCATTTGACGGACCCTCCACCAGAAAAGTTACACAATGCAGCTTTAAGTATAAAAAGCGTTGTTGTGCGTTGTGAGTGAGTGTTCCTGTGTGTTTAAGGAGCAGAGTCACGGTTCTGGTCCTGGTTTGGGCAGTTTTCCTCACCCCACTGGAAGGGTAGAGTTATGTTCAAAGTATACAGCTGTAGTAGTAGTAGTAGTAGTAGTAGTAGTAGTAGTAATATCGTAGTAACATTGTGTGCTTTGTGTGTGTGCTCACTGTGCTTAAATAATGTCCCAAATTGTCCCACCTCTATTTAAAGCTTTAGCATCAGCATAAGCTTTTAACATTAGTGCACTAAAGCTGATGTGCTGGTTAGACTATCAGCGGCTTCACTCGTGTGTTTAAATGCATCGATGTGAGGTACTGAAGTGTTTTTAGAAATACTTTTTGTTTTGTTTTATTTTTAAGGTCCTATGTTACGCAAAATGTACTCTTGTGAACTTTAAGTCATGTTTGAATGTTGTTACCTCGTCAAAAACAAACCCGGAGTTGTGTTTTGTTTCATTCACACTTGTTTGAGTAAATCTTTATTATTGGTCTAGATCTTTAAAACTCTGTTCCAACTTGTGATGTCCACAGTGCTCCACCGCGTTTTTAAACTCCTTACACCTTCACTAGAACAGTCTGGATCAGGGGTTTTCATGGTTTAGTCCTGGTTAAATCCTGGTTTAGACTTGATTTTAGTCTTGGTTTAGTCCTGGTTTAGACCTGGTTTTATTCCTGGTTAAGTCCTGATTTAGACCTGATTTAGACTTGATTTTAGTCCTGGTTTAGACCTGGTTTTACTCCTGGTTAAATCTTGATTTAGACCTGATTTAGACTTGATTTTAGTCTTGGTTTAGTCCTGGTTTAGACCTGGTTTTAGTCCTGGTTAAATCCTGGTTTTTTGTCATGGTTTAGACCTGGTTTTAATCTTGGTTTAGACCTGGTTTAAACCTGGTTCTAGTCTTGATTTTAGTCCTGGTTTAGTTCTGGTTTTAGTTCTGGTTTAGTCCGGGTTTTAGTCCTGATTTTAGTCCTGGTTTTAGTCCTGATTTTAGTCTTGGTTTAGACCTGCTTTTAGTCTTGGTTTTGACCTGCTTTTAGTCTTTGTTTAGACCTGCTTTTAGTCTTGGTTTAGACCTGCTTTTAGTCTTGGTTTAGACCTGCTTTTAGTCTTGGTTTAGACCTGCTTTTAATCTTGGGTTAGATCTGGTTTAGACCTGGTTCTAGTCCTGATTTTAGTCTTGGTTTAGTCCTGGGTTTAGTTCTGGTTTAGTCCTGGTTTTAGTTCTGGTTTAGTCCTGGTTTAAGTTCTGGTTTTAGTCCTAGTTTTAGTTCTGGTTTAGTCCTGGTTTCAGTCTGTGATTTAGTCCAGGTTTTAGTCCTGATTTAGTCCTGGTTTAAGTTCTGGTTTAGTCCTGGTTTCAGTCCTGATTTAGTCCAGGTTTTAGTCCTGATTTAGTCCTGGTTTAGTTCTGATTTTAGTCCTGGTTTAAGTTCTGGTTTAGTCCTGGTTTCAGTCCTGATTTTGTCCTGGTTTAAGTTCTGGTTTAGTCCTGGTTTCAGTCCTGATTTAGTCCAGGTTTTAGTCCTGATTTAGTCCTGGTTTAGTTCTGATTTAGTCCTGGTTTAAGTTCTGGTTTAGAGGCACGGCCCATGTGGCGTATACGAGGCAAAACAAGTGAAGCTCCAAACTATGAGTATGTTGTCAGAATGGCGACATAATTTTACGTCTATTACACACATGCACAATTATCGATATCAATAGTGCTCAATACTCCCCAGTGGCTCTTTGGCGCCCCCCAGGGGAGGCAGGCCTCATGTATTGATCTGATCTGAATGATTTCAGCCTGGAATTGCCCGTCTCTATTGAACTAAAAGTAAAAGGAGCTATTAACTTGAAAACTACTGCTTCATCTAATAATGCAGGGTTACTCAAACACGGGTGAATGAAACAAAACGGGATTTGCCGCCTTTTTCGTCAACCCTTCATTGCGACATGCCTCTATTTTGACGTGCTGGTTTTCTGACACTTTTTAATATCGCTGTTCTGACATGTCATGTGTGTGTTTTGGGTGTCGTTTCATTGAGCTGGAACAATGAACATGAACAGGCTATATGGAGTTTTTTGCGCCAGGGACCAGTTTTATATCCGATTTCATGGACCGGGAGGGAGGTGTGGTGCGGCCGAGTTTAGTCCTGTTTTAGACCTGTGTTAGTCCTGTTTTAGACCTGTTTAGACCTGTTTTAATCCTGGTTTAGATTTAGTCCTGGTTTAGACCTAGATTTAGTCCTGGTTTAGACCTGGTTTAGACCTGGTTTAGACCTGGACCTGGTTTAGGTTTAGATTTAGTCCTGGTTTAGACCTGGTTTAGACCTGGTTTAGATTTAGTCCTGGTTTAGACCTGGTTTAGACCTGGTTTAGGCCTGGTTTAGATTTAGTCCTGGTTTAGACCTGGTTTAGACCTGGTTTAGATTTAGTCCTGGATTAGTCCTGGTTTAGACCTGGTTTACACCTGGTTTAGACCTGGTTTAGATTTAGTCCTGGTTTAGACCTGGTTTAGATTTAGTCCTGGATTAGTCCTGTTTAGACCTGGTTTACACCTGGTTTAGATTTAGTCCTGGTTTAGACCAGGTTTAGACCTGGTTTAGATTTAGTCCTGGATTAGACCTGGTTTAGACCTGCTTTAAACCTGGTTTAGACCTGCTTTAGATTTAGTCCTGGATTAGTCCTGGTTTAGACCTGGTTTAGACCTGGTTTAGATTTAGTCCTGGTTTAGACCTGGTTTAGACCTGGTTTAGATTTAGTCCTGGATTAGACCTGGTTTAGACCTGCTTTAAACCTGGTTTAGATTTAGTCCTGGATTAGTCCTGGTTTAGACCTGGTTTAGACCTGGTTTAGATTTAGTCCTGGTTTAGACCAGGTTTAGACCTGGTTTAGATTTAGTCCTGGTTTAGACCAGGTTTAGACCTGGTTTAGATTTAGTCCTGGATTAGACCTGGTTTAGACCTGCTTTAAACCTGGTTTAGACCTGCTTTAGATTTAGTCCTGGATTAGTCCTGGTTTAGACCTGGTTTAGATTTAGTCCTGGTTTAGACCTGGTTTAGACCTGGTTTAGATTTAGTCCTGGATTAGTCCTGGTTTAGACCTGGTTTAGACCTGGTTTAGACCTGGTTTAGATTTAGTCCTGGATTAGACCTGGTTTAGACCTGGTTTAGACCTGGTTTAGATTTAGTCCTGGATTAGTCCTGGTTTAGACCTGGTTTAGACCTGGTTTAGATCTGGTTTAGACCTGGTTTAGATTTTGTCCTGGAGTAGACCTGGTTTAGTCCTGGAGTAGACCTGGTTTAGACCTGGGTTTAGACCTGGTTTAGGCCTGGGTTTAAACCTGGTTTAGATTTAGTCCTGGTTTAGACCAGGTTTAGACCTGGTTTAGATTTAGTCCTGGATTAGACCTGGTTTAGACCTGCTTTAAACCTGGTTTAGACCTGCTTTAGATTTAGTCCTGGATTAGTCCTGGTTTACACCTGGTTTAGACCTGGTTTAGATTTAGTCCTGGTTTAGACCAGGTTTAGACCTGGTTTAGATTTAGTCCTGGATTAGACCTGGTTTAGACCTGCTTTAAACCTGGTTTAGACCTGCTTTAGATTTAGTCCTGGTTTAGACCTGGTTTAGATTTAGTCCTGGTTTAGACCTGGTTTAGACCTGGTTTAGATTTAGTCCTGGATTAGTCCTGGTTTAGACCTGGTTTAGATTTAGTCCTGGTTTAGACCTGGTTTAGACCTGGTTTAGACCTGGTTTAGATTTAGTCCTGGATTAGTCCTGGTTTAGACCTGGTTTAGACCTGGTTTAGATTTAGTCCTGGTTTAGACCTGGTTTAGATTTTGTCCTGGAGTAGACCTGGTTTAGTCCTGGAGTAGACCTGGTATAGACCTGGGTTTAAATCCTGGTTTAGGCCTGGGTTTAAACCTGGTTTAGATTTAGTCCTGGATTAGTCCTGGTTTCGACCTGCTTTCGACCTGGTTTAGACCTGGTATAGACCTGGTTTAAATCCTGGATTAGAGGCATGGTCTGCGCGACGTACAAGAGGAGGCACGGTCCACGTGGCGTATGGAGGTGGGGGTTCACACTTTTGTGGATTGGTATCGGGTGTTGTGGACCCCTGGGCTACATGACGAAGATCAGATTAGATATTTTCTCGAAACCTGGCCTATGCTCTTTTTTAAAATGCCTGACTGTTTCCCCAAGTATTTTTCTGATCAAGCTTCTTATGATACATGGGAGCGTAAAATATAATGAAATATAATGAAAAAGTGCAATGATAGAAAAATAGGAAAGTGACGTTACTCGGAAAAAAAAAATGGCGATGTTGTGAGACGCTTAAAAAAATAAAATAAAATAAATTGTGGCATGTAACCAAACAAAACACAACCCCAGATATGTTTTTGACGAGAAAACAGCATTATAACATTTCAATTTGATGTAATATAGGACCTTTAACTTGCTTTTATGCTTTTGCTAAACTCGTTCAGATGTGAAGTGAAATTGCTGTTAGTTGGATGAAACTCAATGAATGACACCGATATATAAAGTGTAATGTTTTGTTTTCAGGTGAGGAGGGTCCCTGGCTCCAGCGGACACCTGCACAAGACGGAGGACGGGGACTGGGAGTGGAGCGATGACGAGCTGGACGAGCGCAGCGAGGAGGGGAAGGCCGCCGTCAACCAGGGACGAGTGAGTACGACTCATCCACAACAACAACAACGACAACAGTCAAATCAGTTTTATTCTACCAGACAAAAGCTTGGACACACCTCTTCAATCTGTGTATCATTCATTCAGTCGTTTTTTACAATAAAACCAAAAATAAGAAAATGAAAAACCAACAATTTTCTTCATTATTTGTCTCCAAAATCAAAATGAAAAAACAGATAATGATTCATTTTTATTTTTTTTTTCAGTTTTTGATTTTGTGCTTAAATGAATAATGGAATAAAACAGATAATGGCTGTTTCCCGTTTCCATGACTTCCATTAAACTGCGATGCCGGACTTTTGCGCCGCATATGGACTGAACCAGGACTAAAAGAGGATTAAAGCAGGTCTAAACCAGGTCTAAACCAGAACTGAGCCAAACTAAACCAGGTCTAAAACAGGACTGAACCAGGACTGAGTGTTGGGACGGGCCTAGAGGTGTGCCCGCATAGACTGTCAGGTGATCAGGACTGAGACCTGCACCAGACCAGGACCAGGACCAGGATTAAGATGGGGACTGAGACCGGGACCAGATTGGGACAAGATCGGGACGGAGACCGGGACTGAGACTGGGACTGAGACCGGGACTGAGACCAAGACTGAGACCTGGACTGAGACCGGGACTGAGACCAAGACTGAGACCTGGACTGAGACCGGGACTGAGACCAAGACTGAGACCGGGACTGAGACCGGGACTGAGACCTGGACTGAGACCGGGACTGAGACCGGGACTGAGACCGGGACTGAGACAAGACTGAGACCAAGACTGAGACCAAGACTGAGACCAAGACTGAGACCAAGACTGAGACCGGGACTGAGACCTGAGACCAAGACTGAGATCAAGACTGGGACCGGGACTGAGACCGGGACTGAGACCGGGACTGGGACCGAGACTGGGACCGGAACTGAGACCAAGACTGGGACCGGGACTGGGACCGGGACTGGGACCGGGACTGGGACCGGGACTGAGACCGGGACTGAGACCGGGACTGAGACCGGGACACTGAGACCAAGACTGAGACCAGTTTAGTCCTGGTTTAGAGTAGACCTGGTTTAGTCCTGGTTCCGTTCAGGTTTAGACCTGGGTTAGACCTGGTTTAGTCCTGTTTTAGTCCTGTTTGATCCTGGTTCAGTCCAGCATCGCAGTTTAAATCTTGGAAACGGGAAACGGCTTTTATCCGTTTTTTCCATTTTTTATTTAAAAACTAAATCGAAAACTGAAAAAACTAATCGTTATCGTTTTTTCGTTTTCTTATTTTTGGTTTTATTTTGAAAAATGAATCAACAAATGACACATGGATTCTTTTCATTTATGTTTCTTTTTTATTTCCAAGATTATTTTATTAAGGCATCTCAACTATGAACAAACACATACGTAACCTGCCAAACAAAAATGAAACTCAAAATAACTTGTTTTAGATTTAAACATTAAAAATAGCCATCCTTTTGCTTTGATCACTTTGCACTTTTGGTATTTTCTACCAAGACATAAACCAGGAGAGCTGTGGAGTGGAAAACATTTCAAGAAGCTCATTGAGGGAAGGTCACGGGTTTGCAGCGCTGTCAACAAAGTAAAGGGTGGCTACTTTGAAGATTACAAATATTTAGTTATTTAACTTTTTCCCTTGCTACATAATTCCATATATCTTACATAATATATTTGATGTCTTTTGTGTTTATATCAAATTTAGAAAGTTGTAAACATGATGAAAAAATACACTGAAAAAGAAGGTCTGTCCAAACTTTTGACTGGTGTATATGGGTTTATCCTCCTCGTCTTCCCAAGCCAACCCATCCCTCTGTTTAGATATAGACTGTAGAAGGAAACAATCACTGAATCAATCAATGAATCAATGAAATACTGGAGCATGGGTGTTCAGTATTGATCTTGGTAACTTTACAATGAGCAACACTACAGTTAACAATTCAAAAGTCGTGTATTATGCAAAATTGACTCTTGCGAGACTGTGAGTCATGTTAAAATGCTGTTACCTTTTTGTGTTTTGTTTCGTTCACACATGTTTAAGTAACCCTTTTTTATTAGTTTGACTGCACTTACAAAGCTCAAAATGCTCTGTCCCACCTTGTGATGTCATGAACTGGTAGTTTTCAAGATAAGATACCGTTTAGGATTGTAACGGTACATGTATTTGTGCTGAACCTCTTCGGTACGGGACGTTTCGCTGTGGTGCCAGTGTTTCCCTATAGTTAGGCCTTGACAACAGTTGCCCCCCGCCTTGACTACGTCCCTCCTGCGTGAATCACAAAACAAAGAAAAGAAAAGTTCTTCACCTTTTTTAATTGGTCACACCACGAGCAGATCCGACAGCACGTCCCCCATGACAGACAACCAACCA